ACAAAAAGCAGTCATTATCAACACATGCCATATTGTTGGTAAATTTCTAAACATAACACAAGATACTACATACACAAATGATCCACAACATATACATGTAAACAACAGTACTCGCTCACAACACGGTACACAACATACTGTAATATCTCCACCTCTAACCCAAACAAACACACAAATACAACTTACCGAACAAACAAGTACAACAAATGATACAACATATACTACAATCAGAGATTCCCCTCTGAAGCAAACCACATTATCACGACCCATTAGTATTCAACCCAAACGCAAAAGCCTAAACAGCACTTTAGACTCACAACATGACACACAACATACTGTAATATCTCCACCCTTAACTCAACCAACCACACAAACACAACTCCCTGAACAAACAAACGCAATAAATACAAGTAACGCAACATGCACTACAAAGACGCCCTCACTCAATAAAGTTACACGGCCTAGCACAGCTAAAAAACACAATACTCTTTCTTCTCAGAAACACACCACGTTATCACAACCCACTCGTATACAACCCAAACGCAACAACCTTAAAAGCACTACAGGCTCACAAAATACTGTAATGTCTCCACCAATAACCCAAGCAACAACACAGATACAACCTCAAGAACAAAGAAACACCATAAATACAAGTAACGCAACAAGCACTACAAAGACAGGTCCACCCAATAAAGTTACACGCCCTAGCACAGTTAAAAAACACATAACTCCCTCTTCACAGAAACACACCACGTTATCACAACCCACTCGTACTCAACCCAAACGCAAAAACCTAAACAGCACTACTAGCTCACAAAATACAGTAATACCTCCACCAATAACCCAAGCAATAACACAAATACAACCTCAAGAACAAAGAAACACCATAAATACAAGTAACGCAACATGCACTAGAAAGACAGGTCCACCCAATAAAGTTACACGCCCTAGCACAGTTAAAAAACACAAAACTCCATCCTCACCGAAGAACACCACGTTATCACAACCCACTCGTATTCAACCCAAACGCAAAGCCAAAGAAACACTTACACAATAAACTCCATTTAATAAAATTACAGGAATTATTATAATGATTTTTGTTTTGTTTTGTTTTCCTCTTCCCTGATAGCGTTGGCTTATTGTGCCCATCAATAGGTATGTTGGTAAGTACGAATTACATTATCCCTAGATGTCCAATGTACGTGTGTGATTTTTATTTTTTTTTTTTATTTTTTATTTTTTTTTTTTTAAGGACCCTACATAACTTCACCAGACACAGACACAGACACTAATCGTTACGTTACTTGATTTTAATCCGTGCGATTAGTTAACCAGGCTAGACCTGAGTTCTCACAAGAAACACCGACCATAATAATACTTATGGACTTATGGACCAAAGACATTAAACACAATCCACACGCCCCGTGGATTACCACAGAAACCACACGCACTGAATACATTACCCCTATGAATAACACAAACATCACTACAACAGACATCATTCAAACTATTATCACTTACATAACTGGAAAAGTCCAGGCATTGATAACATTCACAACTTTTGGTGGAAATATTTTACCTACACTCACTATTACCTTGCACAACAATTTACTGAACTTCTTAATTCACCAGATCGCACTCCTGCATTCTTTTCCCAAGGTATCACTTACATGCTCCCAACAATACACAGGACCCATCTAAATATAGATCAATTACATGCCTTCCTACAATATACAAAATCCTTACATCATGCATTACAAACAAAATATACCAACACTGTACTGATAACAACATTTTATACGAAGAACAAAAAGGGTGTACAAAGTGTTCCAGAGGCTGTAAAGAACAACTCATTATAGACTCTGTAATACTTGAACAATCCAGACATAACAAACGAAACATACACACTGCATACATTGATTACAAAAAAACATTCGATTCAGTACCACACTCTTGGTTACAACAAGCACTCTCAATATACAAAGTCAGCAACAATATTACACAATTCCTCAATTACATAATGTCATGTTGGAACACTACGTTAACACTTACACTAAACGACACAAAACTTATTACTGACCCAATACAAATTAAAAGAGGAATTTTTCAAGGCGATTCTTTAAGTCCGCTTTGGTTTTGTCTTGCTCTTAATCCACTTTCATACTTGTTAAACACTACTAACTTTGGGTACAATATTGAACATAACCACGAAATACATCACAACATTACACACCTGTTTTACATAGACGATCTTAAATTATACTCTTCCACAAGCACAAAACTTAATCACCTTCTACACATTACGGAAACATTTTCACGTGACATACAAATGGACTTTGGAATCGATAAATGTAAAACGCAACACATCACAGCTGGTAAAAGACAACTTTTAGATTATGAGCTCGAACAGGGTAATTTAATAAATTCCATGGACGAGAATGAAACTTATAAGTATCTTGGTTTTCAGCAAAACACACACATTAAACATACGAGTATAAAACAAACACTTATCACACAATACCTACAAAGGATACGCAGTATACTTAAAACAAAATTACACGGTAGAAACACAATCAAAGCTATTAACACTGATGCCACACCAGTACTTACATACTCTTTTGGGATTATACGTTGGACAAATACAGATTTAGAACAAATACAGAGAAACACACGTACACTATTAACAGAACACCATATACATCACCCTCACTCCTCTACTATACGACTTTACCTTCCTCGTTCGGAAGGAGGTAGAGGACTTACAGATATAAAAGTATTGCACCAAACACAAATACACAATTTACGACAATACTTTTATAACAAATCAGATACTTCAGTCCTACACAAAACAGTAACATATGCAGACAAATCTTACACACCACTTAACCTACACGAAACTAATATACTCCCACCTCCATCCAAACTTACATACATCACAAATAACATACAGACATGGAACCAAAAGCCGTTACATGGACGATTTCCGCAAGAGGTTAGTCAGGATTGTGTTGATTCTATAGCAACGCACACTTGGTTGTCTGAATGTGATATCTTCCCGGAGACTGAGGGTTTCATGTTAGCAATACAAGACCAGGTCATTAATACACGCAACTATAAAAAACACATACATAAAGATAAAACAGTGACAAATGATTCTTGTCGACTCTGTTCACAAACATCAGAAACAATCCAACATATAATATCGGCATGCACACGACTTGCACAAACTGAATACAAACATCGACACGATCAGGTAGCTAAAATCATACATCAAAAATTAGCACTTAAACACAATCTCATAACAGATACGACACCATACTACAAATACACGCCACAGATCATACTTGAAAACAACACACACAAATTATATTGGGACAGGACACTACTCACAGACAAAACTATCCACAATAATAGACCAGATATTACACTTATAGATAAAACACAAAAATCCATTTGTATTATAGACATTGCCATACCCAACACTAACAACTTAACTAAAACACATGCAGAAAAACACTGCAAATACACCGATATAGCTATCGAGCTTAAGACGCAGTGGAGAATGAAATCTACTGTTATAGTTCCCATTATTCTTAGTGCTACTGGAGTTATACCAAAGACAATACACCACAATTTACAACTATTAGGTTTAGACAAAAACACATACAAACATTTACAAAAAGCAGTCATTATCAACACATGCCATATTGCTCGTAAATTTCTAAACATAACACAAGATACTACATACACAAATGATCCACAACGTATACATGTAAACAACAGTACTCGCTCACAACACGGTACACAACATACTGTAGTCTGTAATATCTCCACCCTTAACTCAACCAACCACACAAACACAACTTCCTGAACAAACAAACGCAAATAAATACAAGTAACGCAACATGCACTACAAAGACAGGTCCACCCAATAAAGTTACACGCCCTAGCACAGTTAAAAAACATAAAACGCATTCTTCTCAGAAACACACCACGTTATCACAACCCACTCGTACTCAACCCAAACGCAAAAACCTAAACAGCACTACAGGCTCACAAAATACTGTAATATCTCCACGAATAACCCAAGCAACAACACAAATACAACCTCAAGAACAAAGAAACACAATAAATACAAGTAACGCAACATGCACTACAAAGACAGGTCCACCCAATAAAGTTACACGCCCTAGCACAGTTAAAAAACACAAAACTCCTTCCCACAAACACACCACGTTATCACAACCCACTCGTATTCAACCCAAACGCAAAGCCAAAGAAACACTTACACAATAAACTCCATTTAATAAAATTACAGGAATTATTATAATGATTTTTTGTTTTGTTTTGTTTTCCTCTTTCCTGATAGCGTTGGCTATTGTGCCCATCAATAGGTATGTTGGTAAGTATGAATTACATACTATCCCTAGATTTAAATGTACGTGTGTGATTTTTTTTTTTTTTAGGACCCTACATAACCTCACCAGACACAGACACAGACACTAATCGTTACTTGATTTTAATCCGTGCGATTAGTTAACCAGGCTAGACCTGAGCTCTCACAAGAAACACCGACCATAATAATAATAATGATAACGATAATCCCTCTGAATGTTCGTCTATCTCGTCTGTGTCATTGCTAGTCGTGTTTACAGTGTCTTTGGTTTTGGTAGTATCACACAAGTCGTAGTACACTTGACGTCCGTCGTCGCACCCGCAAGGTTGATAGTGACGAAAGCACTAAAAAAGTGTTAGCAGTAATTGCTCAGGGAAATATAACGATTAATTAAAAGGAAAACTTTCTTAAACAGTGCATTGAAAATTCACCTTGAACATCCATCACGCGCGCGGTTTCCAAGGCAACTAGTAGTTAGGGGATATAGTAGTGCGAGTTAAAAAAAAAAGTGCAAACCGCTCTTCTGTATCACACTATGCTATTTATTTTCCTCGCCGCTTGCAGATATGAACGTAAACCAATAATGGGTGTCTACACTTTGCAGGTTATGTAGCTACGCATATAATTTTATATGCTCAGCTCGTAACTCCCGACCAAGTAAACCATGGGATGCACACGTTTGTAGTTCCAATCAGAAGTCCGCGTACTCTGCTACCGTATCCAGGTGTAAGCGTAACAGACCTTGGTGAAAAGATAGGTTTAAAGGCGTTGGACAATGGGTAGATTGTTAATATTCAGAAAATAGCTTACCTACACCTTCTCTTGCAGGTTTATCATATTTAACGACTATCGCATACCTAAAGACAGCCTCCTTAACAGACTAGCCGATGTTAGCGACGATGGCATTTACAGTAGTCGCATTTCGGATCCCATCGCTCGATTTGGAATTATATTGAGCACATTATCAAGTGGGCGCGTAAAGACCTTAGGTGTGAGCACCGCACTCGTAAGACACGCAGTGGCCATCGCGATAAGATATACGGCAGTATCAAGCAAAAAGCAAGCACCCATGCTCAAAAATCCAGCGCATGTACCCATAAGCAAAATTATGCGAGTAACTAACAACGTTGTTACAGCAAGTTCGGTTATTTCCCTGTTTAGCCATCGCATACATGGGGCATATTATCCACACTGAATTGGAAACGATACAAAAACGTCTGTTAAACTCGGATCAAACCTCAGTGCAATTAGGAACTGAACTTCACGCGGTCACATCCGCCGGCAAACCCGTATACACGTGGCTCGCCAGGGGTTGTATACGTAAATGCCTGGAGGTTTCTGCTGATAATGCGTATCTGACAGGTGAGCTCACATTTTTGAACCTGTACAACTTCCGAATTCAGTTTCCGGTTTGGAAGAGATCCTCCTGATATCCGATCCCGCCTACACTTACGAAGGTGACAATAACGTACTAATCCAGCAGACGTCGAAATGGCTGTTGAAGCTTTGGACCAGCGCACTGCAAGGGAAGACGATTCAGTTTCCACTTTCCACCGCAAATTTTTTATCAGAAACAGATGAAATCTTGAAACAGAGGTTTTCAGTCACCTGCTTTGCTAATTTTACCGCCATTCGAAGTGTTCACTGCTACGCTCACTATACCACCTTTATTTCAGATATTGTAGCGTATTACAGGTGGCTAACCTGTTATCTCTTAAAATTGACGTACGACAAGCAGGTGTCGCTACGGAAGCAGGAAAGCAGTACGTTTTTTGTCAACAATAGTAACCAAGTGTACTTCTCTAAATCATTGGCAACTGTCTACTTTTTGGTATCAACTCAAAGCAATTAGTATAACTCTCGCCAGGAAAGATTGCCGGTCACAGCATACCGTGTGTCGATTTACAATCTATGTTTTTCTTAAGATCCGAGCGACTTCCGGAATAGGATCGTACCAATGTTAAACGAAGTCTTTTTGTTCAACATTGACACGATACTCTCCCGGAAGTCGCTCACATCTTTAGAAAAACCTAGATTGTAGACCGGAATCAAGTGTTCTCTGACCGGCAATCTTTCCTGGCGAGAGGTTTATGCACGTTTCCTGTGATAATTGTTTCAGCATTACGTCGTACAAACTGCGAACGAAGTCATCTCATGTGTAACCGATTATTCTTCGAAGGAAGTGTTACTGAAGTTGTTGTCCTTGTTCGGAGTTTGGAATCTACGGAAGTACGCACATTATTTTTACCAAGGCAATTACACAAATGACCCCAACTTTGGACACTACATCGAGGAGGCGATTTTAGCACTCTGCAGAAGCCTAACGGACGATGCTATCTCGCTAATCGACGCTATTCTACCTGACGACTGCCTGCTAAATTCCGTTCTGGGACATTCTGATGGTAAGGTGAGTATTGCTCATGAAGTACTAAGAGACAAATAATATTTAATTTCTAGGTACATGAGCGATTGGAATCTGTATTGTCGCAAACGTACGGAACGTACGCGAAATTCCAGTGGAAGGATGACATACATGGATGTGTTTCAAAGCTTTAAATTACGCTTCTATAGAATGAAACGTATTTTAACTCAATCTTGCTATGTTGGCAAAGAAATTACTTTATAAGTTGAATAACGCTTGATGCTTGATTTTGCTTTTGGAGATTGTACTGTAACGTTCAAGAGGAATGGTATCACTGAAATAAAATAAAAAAATCTCAATCATTGAACCAGAATACCCCAAATACCTTGTTGGGTTCGGTTCTTATCAATAAATCTGTTTCATGCAAATAATTTCCACGGGTCGATCCCTTTAGGAATATTAAAATTACTTCAAACAAAATTTCCTACGAACCTTTCTAAAAATAATCGGCCACTGCCTTATACAAATAAAAAATTTAAAATAACTTGCAGTAATTAACGTGAGTAATATAATCTTCTGGTAACAATTGATCTGATCTCCCGCTTCGTTTAGAAGTATGGAAACAGAACGATCCGATGGTACAGTTGACTTTCCGTACGTTATCTTCGGGACGAGTGCGAAATTTGACGGAAAAAAATTCCTATTCTTGTGTAGACAACCTCCAAAAATAATGACAATGGGAAAGTTTCAATTTATTAAGTGTAAATCTGTTGGATTATTAAACGACATAAGCACAAAGATCGTTTATTATATTTGATATTTTGAATCAGTGTCTATTTTTGCTTTTAGAGGTTTGTTTAAATTGTTTATTTAGGTTCGTGTATTTAATTGTAAAACGCAAAAATGCGTGTTAAAACGTAGGGACATCTGGTAGGTTGCCATAAACAGTTTTTATCGGATGAAATTTAATTAATGCACGCGTTCTTATCGCTGCTAGGAGATGCAGGTGTTTTACAATGCGCGCATTATTTCGGCGTAAGTGGGAACTCCTTCGAAGTTGTGATTATCTAATCTGATTGTGATTGGCGATTGATTTGACAAATTTTGTGGCAGGAGTTTATCTTATGGTGGAAGAAGTGGTATCTGTTGCTGCTAGTGTCGCGACGGTTGTAGAGCGTGTATTTAGTTTGCGCTAATTTCTGGGGCAGTTGGCTCTATTTGATTGGTTGAAAACGCATTTTTATAGTAAATCTGTGCCGAAGCAAGTTCACCAAAGATGTGTGAGAAGTTTAACGCGTGTTCGATTTCGGAAAAAGGAAGCAATGTTGTACGGCGGACCATTTCGTTAAGGTTTTCTTCTTGTTAAGTTAAAAGTGTCTACCGTCCGAGCAGTCACCGAAAATCATTTCATCTTACTCGTCAAACTGGTTTTGTTTTGTCATCCAATTCTATGTTATCAAAGCTTAAAAGCTGTCAGCGTTTGTATGAATTTAGTGCGCCTTATATCACAAATATTGTACACCTGTATTATTTGGTTTATTTGACAAAAAAAAAAGATTTTTTATTTTAGTTATCGACCGCCTGCGTACGAAGTATCATGTCCAAACAAGTTTTGTAAGCTTTTCTTTTTTTCAGGGATTTTGTTTTAATTATGTTTCATTGTGTTTTGTCATTGTAAATGAATAAATTGCGTGTTTATTCGAATCCTTGGTGCGACCCAGATTAGAGTTTTCTTGTCAGATTTTTCTATTCCTGTCGAACATTAATTTCAAGTGTTTTTTTAGCTAGCTGGACATGTGTTTTGTGTGTGGTGTAATGGCCGCACGGCATTGCACAGAGCAGTATGAATCGCGAATCCAAGCAAGCCGGCTACAAATCCTTGAAACTATACTCGAGATATTATGCACAAAAATAAGATGGCAATGTTCTCCGGTGTTTATATTAATTTTGCCCAATTTATTAACTAGGTTTTGTTGCGAACATTTGCATCAATTAATGGTCGCTAAATTCCCTGCCTTATGCTGTTATATAAAAAATTTTATTTATCGCACGAGGCGCTGACCAATGACGTCACTCAACTTCGAGGAACTTTCTTTTAACAAGCCGTTACTGTTAGCGATCCAAAAAAACTTCTGTTCATTACAATGAGTTTTAGTGTTAGTTCATTTGGCGGCAGTTTTGTTTCAAAAGCACTTCTACTGCTCGGAATTCTTTATTTGTTTAGGTTTATATCACTCGAAAATAAACGGCTTTGCTACAAATTAGGTTAACTTCCGTTTTAACATAAAATTAAACTTGCTGCTTAATGATTGAAAAATAGCAGCGACGTCCTTGTTTAGAATTTTTCATTCAAAATAAAGCTGATACTAGATAAACTTTTCAAAATGAAAATTTAAGCACACCTAATGCGGCACGCAACTGCTCCTTAAATTAGCTGCGAAAAATTAAAATAATGCAAAAATAAAATTTTCACTTACAAATACGTGCTAACCTTGTCTGCCGAGAACCCCCTTACAATGATCTCGCTAGCGAGTAACATTTTATTTCGAAAATGCACACTTTTATCGAAAATGCCACATTGTTATCGCTTTTATTTCAGACATACTTTTGTTCACGGTCGCTATGAAGCGGTATACGTGTTCATGTTCCTATGTTGAACAAAATAAAAATTCAGCACTTGGTGGTATCGCTTTTCTGTCAGTACAAATATCTACTTTTTAATGTATGGCGTCATAATTCCGAGCGCTAAAACAGTTTTTCTTAATAATTGATCGCACCCATCTCATAGAAATTGTCTGAATTGTGGAGCCACTTATGTCAATGCTAGTGTGCGTATGTGTGAAGTATCAGCAGTGGATCTAAAAAGTGTATCTAGATTTCCCTGACGTTTCCCCCAGATTCGAAGAGATCCCCTTTTCCAATTGAAAACTGCTTCAGTCTTTCTAATGTCAAGATACGTTTGGTTGATGATAGCGTAAGTACTCGTAGATAAAGGTTTACCGTTCCCCAGTATACGGGCGGTTTGACATACGTATTGCACTCGTATTATATTTTAGATAAACATGTCGTGTAATCTCGCCGAATGCGCAGAAAATTTTGATGTCACTGAATATCTGTAAAATAATATAATTATGTGTTCAATCCATTACCTTGACGTTAAGGGTAAAAAAGGTTTAAATTGCTATTATTATTAACGTTTTTCTAGACTCCTTCATAAATCCTCATTAAGGTCTGGATCTAGGTCTGGATAGCATTTCGACGACGGCACCGAATTTCCTGTTATTTGACAATCCATCTATTGAGGTCGATTTATAGCTGGCAGGCACCTTAATCACCTTAATTCATCTCTGATGTAAAGTGGTAGGTCATCCAAATCGGATAGTCCATTTTGTTAAAAACAAGTAGTCCACCACCCCATACACACGGTGGATTCACTCCCTGTATATGCATCAACATGAAAATTGATAGAAAATTGACAATAAAATATAATAGTTCTTATATAATGTCTTTCAATAACAATTTGACTACCACACGCGTAGGCATGTAGGTAAATTTCTATTTCGATATTAGGCCATACAAAACGTTTTAGCTTATGAAATGGGAGAGTGATTAATGAAGTTTGAACAACGCCTGAATATTTAATCTCCCGATGAATTACCGATATTGGTTTTCATTACACATTTATTTCAAATGTCATATAACGCTTTTATTATTTCAATTGGGCAACGGTTTAATTGCAACTAAAACAATTATATACCTAAGTAAAATGTGACGAACTTCTCATAAAATTGCGAGCAATTATCGATTTCAATTAACATAATCCACAAATTAGACGTGTATTTTGCAGTTTTTGTAACAAGTTTCGCAGCAAAAATTTGGTCTTAATTAATTACTGTCGGCATTTCCTTAAAAAATCGGAAAAAAATTAATTTGTGAATATAGGTAGAGCAATAATCTATTAGGTACATGTTACGATGACGCCAAATCGTGTCGTTTTATGTAAAAAATTAAAATGCGCATTTTTATTTGCCTCATTATTTAAATATGCAGGGATTTATTATGGCAGTTTCCAGAACGGGTAGTTTATTAGAACGTCCTTATTTTATGTAACATTTAGGTTTGTCAATGTGTATTTAAATCAAATTGATGGTTTTCTAGACGCCAAACTGTACCTACAGGGTGTAAATCGAAAAGTGGAACATAGGCGTTTAAAATGGGAAATTACTTTTTCTTTGCGCAAACGTTTCCTAATTATTTTACGCAAAAATACTTCAAATAAAAGTTATACAAGTATAAATTCGCGAAAAAATTAATTATAAACATTCTGTTTTCACGAATTTTTATTCTAAGTACCTAGCCATGGACTATGATAAAATAAAAAAACTGCGTTAATTAACGCGTTGTAATGCCTAAAGAAGAAGCCACACTCACAACTAGCATTTGAAACCCAAAATTAGATCTGGAACCACGAAGAAAAATCCATTCCTTTCGAACGCAATCAATTAATAAGGGAGTTATTTGCAAAACAATAATACTAATACGGCAAGGGTTGAAAATTAAATTTGTTCACACTTCTAGTGGCAAAAATGTAATAAGTAGCTAAACAACTCATTTAAATCCAATTAAAGCAGAGATACGGTTCAGCACTCAATTCCAAAGCGTCGGTGAATCCTATTTAATTTCCCAAAAATGGATAAAATGACTCTAAACATTAACTGAATGGGTGCACCAAAAGTCCGATTAATTTAAATTTCAACGAATCTTCTGCTTTCGCGTTAAATATCCCTTTCTTAATGTTTATTTACGAACCAAAAATGAAATTTCGTAAACATTATCACTAGTCAGTTTTTTTCTTGTAGATTTATTTTCAAATACGTCACACTCTTCCGCGTTTTCTTCGAATTCGGTTATTTACAGCGCTTTTGACTGACGCACGGATTTGGCGCTAATTTAAATGACGCGTTTTTTTACTTGAACTCTCTCAAGGCTCATAAGGAAATTGAAATAACGTGACTTTTCCGCTGGTCGAACACTTGACGGTCTGGTGGTCCAAAACCGAATGCCTTTCCACTATCTCTCCTGGACGCGTTTCTGCTTTTTTCAATTTTACAAAAGCCGCCTACAAAAAGTGCTAATACTTAGGTTAAAGCAGCCAGGTTTAGCCTTTAACCAATCGACTCCGTTTCCGCATACCAATCACGCGCATATAAAGGCCAATCAATCAAAACAACACACCATTATATGTAATTCTGTTTCAGCCATTTTGGAAAGGTAAAAGATATTAAGATTACCCATCATAGTGGCGTTGATAAATAATAGATAATCGATCACTACGCATCCGGTAACCTAAGACTCAAACTATGATCGACGAATTCATTAAAAATCTGACCTGACCTCTAACGGAAACACCACGAACCCCTCAAAACACGCAATGCTTATAACTGAGCTACCTTAAAGGAATAAATTCCAAAAAACACTAGAGAGCTAGTTTTACATGGCGACAATAGATGTTTTGCAAAAAATTTCAACAAAAAAGAAAATGTTTCACATGTTAAAACCCTGCCATGGCCATTTGTTTTCGAGGAATCTGAACCTGCAATCAGAATTTTCACAGCAGGCTAGATGGAGAAGGTACAGGCTACTACTCTCTTATTTCTTATGGGCGCCATATTGGATTTTCACGGAATGACACACCTTACATCAGAAAGAATGACACTATGGCAAAATACGAAACGCTTTGAATTTCATTTCACAATTTGTTATTTTACATTGAATGCAATTTATTTATTGAAGC